CAGCTAGTAATTCCTCAAGATAACATGTCGAAAATTTAAGGACAGGAAAACTTCCTGAGAGCAAAGGTACACAGAAATATATTTAGCACTTAGTGCCTCACCTGATATAAAAATTTAAAGCATAATAACATCTGTATAGGTCAAGGGAGAGAACAACGAAATAAGCTATCTTTAAGTATTTCTTCATTATCGCATGCCACGGTTAATTCAATACTACCTTTGACTGAAATTATGGATTTAGAGGCAAACCTGAATTGAAAATATGTTCCTAACCAATTCTTAGTTGCTGAATAACAGCTGAGAACATTTAACAGTATTTATGGATGAAAGTAAAGACAGAAAAAGGTTAATATCTCAGGTAGGGAATAATTTCTTTTAAAAGTATTTACTGGAAAAAATATCAAAACATTTAATGCCATTGGGCTATTTACATGGCTAGAATATTTAATCTTCCTAGTGATGTTTACCTAGTGTTGATAATGTTTGATTTTTTACTTTTTCAAAAGTAAAAGTAGATTACCTTTATTTGAACAAAAATGCTCTAAAACCGAAAAAAATATGTTGAGAATAACTGAAAAACTGTTCAGTCTACATGTTTAAAATGTTTTGTAAATATCATCTTTAGCATGTCATCTTCAAATTCCTTTAACTAGTCGATCCGAGAGGGGTTCTTGGTAGACTTGAAGTCGTATGTGTCTTAAGAGCATGTGGTCGTATCAGGGTTGAAGAAGAAGTAAGCTTTCCAGTGCATTCTGCGTAGAAACTACTCGATTTTTTCGACGAGGCGTTGTGAGAAATCGTTCTGCGATGGTTGTATATTCCTCTACCATCACGAAACAACTTCTTACGACGCCTCGTCGAAAAAACCTCGGCAAATTTTCTGTTATCTGTTTCTCTGGGTGTGGCGTTTGAAATGAAAAGTCTGATGTTGATGTTTCGAAGTTGGGAAAGGAGGAAGGCTTCCTACTAGCATGTTTCAGCACCGTCGTAGCTGCCCATTGGGACGTCAAATGCTGTATCGACCTTCTTTTACTAAGGTTGCTGTTTGTGCATAAGGATCGAATGTTTTGCATGTGTTACATGATGTTTCTTCGTCGTTGGTGACGTCGTAGGTTGAAGCTAAGTCGAGTGCTCTGTTCAGGAGGTCTTGGCTAATGGAGGGATAGAATTCTTCGATGTCAAAGCAAATAAAACTGTGGTGCTTTTTTGTTTTTAATGGCTTTAAACCACTCGATCACAGATGCCGTGTTGCTCTCGTGATTTTGTTGATGATTCTGTCGAGGATTGCTTTGCTGATTCTGCCAATCTCGGATTTGGTGGGGCTGATTAGTCGGCAGGTCGGTTTGTTAACGAAGTTCGGTTTGTAGTCTCTCAGAGTTATGAATGATACAGTACCCCTCGCGTATGTGTTAACTGCGAAGACGAATTACATACGCTCAGACGCACGGTAGTCAGGCGCACATATACGACTGTTTTGCGCGCACGGTGGAAAAAAATGTGCAACTCATGTGCCTTTGTTATTCAGTACTATAAGTATCCTTTGCATTACATTGGTGTGTAAAACAAAGAACTTTTAGGTTTGAAAATGAGACGAGTCGACAACGGAAAATTTACTTAATGAAAAAAGCTATAATGCTACACTGTCGCATCGACTGCTACGCATGTCGCATCGCTTCGCGAATTTATGGAATAACGAGTAGTAGCAGAATATTTGCTTGATTTGAGTTGTTAATGAATCAGCCGGGAAGGAAAATGTCACTTACAAAAGGCATCGAAACACGGGTATAATTAAGCGAGTAACGAAGCGAATACTCACTAATATTGCTTCCCAATTTCGGGCAACCCTAAAAGCCGGAACGGCCGAACGGCGGAATGGCGCTACTACCGACTAAGGTGCTCAGTACCACAGCCACCGAAACTTTATGCTCTGCCGAAACTACACAAACCTGGTTTCCCAATGCAACCTATTGTTTCATTCTGTGGTTCTCCGACATACCAACTGTCCAAGTACCTAACAACAATACTACAACCGCTCACCGACAAATCCAGACGAAAACTACAATCCACCGAGGACTTCATTAACGCCACTAAGACTGTACAGATACCTGACGACTACAAACTAGTGTCATTTGATGTGAAATCGCTTTTTACAAGTACTCCACTTCAACTGGCACTACAATATACTGAGACTGCTATCCTACAATCTACCGACCCTCCACCGTTACCGACAGAGGACATTATGGACTTACTAAACCTTTGCCTGACATCAACTTACTTTCAGTACAACGGCAAACACTACAAACAGTTACACGGCACAGCTATGGGGTCTCCAGTTTCTGTTGTTGTAGCAGAAATTGTGATGCAGAACATCGAGGAAAGCGCCCTTTCGACTTGCCGACAGACAATACCACTTTGGTTACGCTACGTTGACGATACTTTCACGGCCGTACGACACGACGAAATCGACGCATTCCACCACCACCTTAACGAACAAAACACT